AGGAGGCAGGCCTGCAAGGGGCGGGCTTCGGCCCCGAGATTGGCAGGAGACGCGAGCAATCAAATTCTACCTTTTTTCCCTCAGCGCCGGGAGAAGGAGGGAGGGTGATTGTGCGGCGTTCGCGGCGCCGATTTGTAATTGGCAGGCGGCGTCACCAATCAGAAAAGAGCGAGGGCGGGCATCGGCCGAAAGATGGGCTAAGAAGGGTGAGGCGCTGTCCTAATCCAAGCGTGTGGAGTGCGCTCTGTGCATGCTCGGAGGTGTCTATTATGTTTATTTCCGCAGTTAATTCTGAGGCTGCTCCCTTCATAGCTGGACCCTTAACAAGGCAACGGATAAATCAAGGAAGACTTGCCGGCTGTGAGACATAACACAAAAGGAAAAGGACACGGGAAGGGTTAAGGAAAAATGCAAGCAACCCTTCTTATCATCAGGCCCTTTCTCCTTATCATAATCGGTACCTGCAGCAGCTTAGAGTTAGGGATAGGTTTATGGCAGGCGTTCCTGAGTCACAGCGGCTGAAACTGGCCAATGTTCCTTCGATCTCAGGGGCACCTGATCAATGTTAGATATTTTTCGTTCTGCGTATATTTGCACAGGGGGAAAACTCATAATACCGGCGCTCTCGTGGGCTTCCTTGGGGAAGAAAGTTGTCCTGACTGCGACATCGACGGGAGGCACAACCTCTGTCCGAGACCAGCCAAAACCAGCTAAGTGCAAATTAAACCTGTTTAAATACAGGGCAGCTCAAGTCAAACTGGTTACTGAACCCGGCTTCTCATTACGAATGGCCAAATGACCGTCCTTCGCTATTTGGGTAGTAAACATCCCAGGAAGCGGTTTGAACCCAGGACTGTGGAACTCCGAAACTTCCTTTTGTTTTACTTTAAATTCCTTTTATTAAAAGCACCCTTTGTTTTTTTGTTTTTTATTTTTTTGCAGGTGGTGTTCAGAGCAAGGCAACCCAGGTCAAAGCGTGGCCGCCGCCCCCGTGTTCGTTTTCCCAGAAGGCCTTTGGAACCTGGCAGAAGACCAGAAGCCTTCTGGGAAGATTGAAAGAAGCTCCCGTCCGTTCGCCCGGCTCGGCTGCAGCAACCGATCGGCTGCCACGTGCCTTTTTCTCTGCAGGCCGCGGGTGCAAAATCCAAATCTCTGGATGGCGGAAGAAACGCAGCCGGTCCGGAGGGCTTTGGAGAGGAACCGGCTGGAACGCTATCGAAGAAGCCAGCAATCTTCTTGAAAAAGAAAAGACGCTCCTTCGATAAAGCGCAAGGACATTTGTCAGCATAGTACGGTTAACAGAATCACATCCTTCTTTCCCTGTAATGCCGCCAAAATAGCCCCCGACGTTGAAGATGAAATAACTTGTTAAATAACAACAGCGGCGTTGGCAGCTTTGCTCCGTAATCAAGCTTGGTGCTTTAAGGTGGTTCCCCCCCAGCTAGAGACTACTGGCCGCCAGGGCTGCGGATGATGGGAGCTGTAATCCAGCACATCTGAAAAGACCCCAGTCGTGGCAGGCCAAAGCCTGTTACGTTTGCATCCGCGCTGGACCGGTTTCTCTGCTCAAGGCATCATGGGGATAAAATGGGGAAGCAAAACCCGTAATGCAGAGTTTAAAAGCGTTTTGTTTTAATGGTTGTGTTTAGTCCAGGCTGTCTTGTCGCATTCCGTTCCTGTTTTTAATTGTTTTAATCTGCTATCGTATTTTATAACCCCCCCCCCCAGAATCCACTGGAGTGGGCAGCTATATTACATTAAATAAATCATAATGCTACCAACAGACTTTCAGCAGCCTTCGGGGACCTTGGAGGGTCAGAATGGGTGGACGAATGATGCAAAGTTACTGGGGCCACCAATGATCTTGCTTTGCTGTTTTTAATAACGAGGCATTAAAAATATTATCTGAGAATCCTATTCGTTGGGATTCTCAGATAATAAAAGTGGGAAACTATGCCACCAGCTTTTTGCAGTCACAGTTAGCAAGATCTCCTGCAGTGACTTTCTAAAGGTGTGTTTCAGTTTCTGCTAACGCCTGTTTAACTCTCTTCTAAAATATGTTTAAATGTGCTGTGTGATCTCGATGGGTGAAGTTGACTTCCTTTTACCCATCTGGGAGCAACCACCTGTGTTCACTGGGGCGGGGACATTCAGGCCACACCACTGGCATCCGTGGGGGGGGATCAACATCAGCAAGATGATGGATGGGATGTCATGGCAGAAGTCCCGCCCCTCCAGGTGCATGCAGAAGAGGCGGGGCTTGCATCATGACGCTCCATCCATCAACTTGTTGAGTTTGACCCCCATGCCCCCAGGGATGCCTGTGGGGCACCCAAAACAGCCAATCACAGTTTAGCTTAGGCGAGGGTCAGGCAAGCCTTGAAAGCCAGTTTGAGATAACCATGGTTAGTTATATGCTAGCCTATAACCATAATTAAGGTTTAATTTGATGGGCACGTTACTGGTTAGGCCCCATGGGGGTAAAACCCAGACGAGGGTGTGGAGACCCATGTTCTGGGCATCTCTTCTAAATCCAAGTTTAAAAACCATACCAGACTCTCACCCCAAACAAATCAAGGCGCATTATCGGTTAGTCTCAATGGCTGAACAAGTCCTTAGCAATGAACAGAGACATTTTCCTGGAAGGTCCATAACTCAGAGCCTCTGTCCCTTTCCGTGTCTGTATTTCAGGGACTCAGCCACGCTTCCTGCAAAAGGAGAGGACTTTTTAAAAAATCAGGCAGAGAGGGAAAAAATGCATCCCACCTCTTGTTCTTGATCCAATTAACCTCCTCTAAAAAAAGATTTTTAAACACTTCCCACACAGAGCAATGTGCGTAAGCAAGCTGGTGACAATAGCAGTGCATAATTAAGAAGCATGCAGCTGTTCGGGTTAGATAACCCAATTTTTGTACCCAAAAAAAAAAAAATTCTTGTCTTTCAGTAAGAAGACTTGTTCAAAAAGCTTAAATTGGTTAAGGCGCCCATTTAAATCTCCCACTTTTGCTCATCCAGTTCTCTACTTCTCTTCCTCTTCCTTCTTCTTCCTTTTCACGGAGAGGGGAGCGAAATTAGTCCAAAAGGAGTGAGCATTGGAATATGGATGGCTTAGTTTTGGGGCCAACTCTTTCTCTAATTTTATGCAGGAATACATTACGCTGATTGTAAGGGGAATATGACATTCTGCTTCTCTCATAATCCACTGGATTGCTTTTATTGCTCAACTACGCCCCGGGCCAGGTGAGAGGCACGTTAGCTGAGAGTCGGTGGAATTAATCAAAGTAATAATCTTTGATTGCTAGGAAAGAATTTCTATAATTTTGTCCTCCAGTTTATTCAGGTGCTTGGAATTGCCTTTTATCTAAAGACGAGTCAGTGCCCTACTTGATTAATGGAATAATGCCATAGGCGCATAAGGGCTTGCTAGAAGCCATAATGATGTCACCTTTGTCGTGACATCATCATGCAAGCAAGGCACCATTTGCAGTGATGTCATGACATGTGAGACATCTCTTTTCCTTCCTCCCTCTGGAATGGTGTTTTTCCACCTTGGCAACTTTAAGATGGGTGGACTTCAACTCCCAGAATTCCCCGGCCTGCAATGCTGGGAGTTGAAGTCCACCCATCTTAAAGTTGCCAAGGTGGAAAAACACCGCTCCACACAGATGTGCAGAATTGTCCCCCTCAACTTCAGGACCAAGATTTAGTGGCTGTAACACAGGTGTAACTCAAGGGCGTCTTTATCTTTTTTACCGCACCGTTGTAAAGTCTCCTCCTTTCCTTGTTCAGGTTCTGCGGCCTTTGGAGACGACCGATCGAGGTAGGTCGATGGCATGTCGTGATATTTGGTGGGCTGGCAAATTCCCCAGGGCAGTACCCCAGAGGGGGAGACCAAGAGTATTTCTGCAAGCTGCAATCTAGCGGGCCTCTGGAGCACCCCTTGCAAACTTCATGAGAACTTCTAAAACAGCAAAAACCTCATTCCCAACAGAGCCACTAGATGGCGCCCTGTTGCAAGGGGACTAAGGTGCATCATCGGGTCCCTGTGAAGAGTCTTCAAGATGGGGGTGCAGATCAGAGAGCAATATGCGCTCCGCATACATTCTCAGGCCAGCAATACCCATCATTCTGGAAGAAGCCAGGATTTGGCATGTCTGCCCGCACCGACATGGGAATGCAGGAGGAGGAGCATCCTTGTGCTCCACTGATGGACCCAGGAGCATCCTTGTGCTCCATTGATGGGCCCCATCTAGAAGAATGATCTGGGCACATCTTTTAAACCTAACAGGCCTGTAACTTTGGAATGAGTCTGGAAGAAAAACTGGCTTGTTCCCAGGTACACCACACCACACCACTCACAGTTTCCTCTTCTTCAACGAGTATTCTTGGAACCATCCGTGGTGTTGGCTGTCTCTACAGCATTGAGCAGAGGAGTTCTTGAAATTCTGTAAATACCAACAGCCTCTGTGGGATCTGAGGAAGGACTCTGAATCTTCAAATGCCACCAAGGTGTCCTGCAGATTCCCTCCCACGTCCCAGTCCCCTGCAGCGCCTAGCAGCTTCAAAGAAGGTCTCCACAGACATGCATGGAAACAACCCCCCACCACCACCCTTTGAAGCTTTAGGGAGGCCCACTGGATAGTTCAGCCATTGCTTTTCAGCCTTCCGTTTCAGAAAGACCCGCAGGAAATTCAGAAGCAATCAATGATTTGCTCCTCCAGGCTGGAGGGGACCACTGGGGCAAGCCTTTTGAGCGGTTCCCTGCCCCACCCTGGCACAGAGCTGAGAAGCAGCTGTGCCAAGATGGCCAAGCCCAGGCTAATACCAAACATATTCGGGACATGCTTTTTAACGACTGCCAACATTGTTCCCAGCCCAGGAGAGCAAGGACCGATACACACTTTTCGTCCTCCTAGCCAGCCTTGGCTTGTGAACGGTCACAAAAGCGGAGTCCTTGGGGTTCTCTGAGCTCGGTTCTGTTCTTGCAAACGTTTCATTACCCAACTAGGTAACGTCTT